GACGTATTTCTTGTTATTGTATGAAGATATTGTGAAAAATAATTTTATACTTTTAAACAAGAAAAATAAATACTACTACTACTACTGCTGTCCGAGAATATTTTTATTGACTTTTGTATGAGGTTGAATTCTACCAATCTCTCCGCATACAGTTCAATAGCACATATTTCCGCTTGAAATAGAGTCGCATAGGTCCCTAGCCAGTTTGATATAACTGTTCTGGGTTTGCAACTGAAAACACCTGTACCAGAGCCTGAAGGTGGTTTTGACCCATATGTTATCCATCTATTTGCTCTTAATATTTCTTTCTGCCGGAGGATCCAATCCTGCCTGTAAAAGGCAGTTCGTTGGTGACAGTTGGAGGCATAAAGTCAGAGGTCATTCCCAGAATGCTGTGACTTCTAGTGTCAACCAGCAGTCTACTGTACTCTGCATTAGATTGATTTGTGCAACTGGCAATGTGCACAAGTCTGTATGTAGTCCATCTAGCCTCTCCAGAAAAATGTGGAGAGGAGGAAGATCTAGAAGGATCTCCTTGGCCGCTGACGGTTTGGTACTGATGGCACCACTGATATCCAGACAACCCTGTCTCTGTACACCTACCTTGTTCATTTATCATGATAAAAACTCCGAACAAGTTATTTGTGTCAGATACCAGTAATAATGACTGGTCAAAATGTTTCTTTTTTCAACTAGTTGTCTTCTCCATCTTCTCAGAACTCTTCAGGAGCGTACTATTCAATTCAACTCACAGTCTATGGACCAGTACACATTTGCATAAATGTGTTAAGAAGTTCATATAGATTTTTCACGTTCTCAAAATCCTTTTCTTCCAGGAAAAATGCTGGCATCTGCGCGATACTGGACTGGAGCACGTTTGGTTCGGTGCTCCGTAGCAAGACTGATAATGATACCGTTAATGATAATGTGTGTAGCGCCCAGATCGCATCCCATATTTTCTGCTGAAATAACTTTTTGGGTTGATAAAAAGATATTGTAACTATTTGTTTGAAATGGTCTGTCACGAAACTAAATATGACAAACCAAATTCAACGCGGTAGAAGCATCGGGCAACAACTAGTCTTCATTGTTAATTGTAGCTGATTTTTGTTGTAACCTCATGAGCCCTAATCAGTTGGGAAAAATATTATGATCTAACTATTGAAGCACTTTGTGTTTCTTCGTTTGAGAGAGATGTGTATATTGAAGTAGCAGTCGTGTCTATTGAGTTGATTTAGTATTTCTCTACTTTTCAGGTAACATGATGACCCTGCTATATATGTTCGGCTTGGCAGCTGGATCATTAGTAGCATACTCGCTGGAGAATATCTTGAACCCAGTGGAAGAACATCCATGCGACTACCACTCCAATATTCAGGTCCAGGAAAAAACCGTTCACAATGTAGCAAACACCACTGTAGACACCATCATATCAAGCACGCCTTCCACAACCTTGGCTAAGGCCCTATTATCACTGACTACCTTGAATTCAACCGATACCGTTTAGATTTTCTTTGTTTGATAGAGCTGTGTTAGTTTCAGAAGATATATTGATTAAATATTATGTTTTACTTGCGGTTTTAATTCAATGGCCAGAAGGATGATTCAATATTCTCGACTTTTTTATTTTTCCCTTTTGGAGATCCTTAAGTATGCTTGAAAGAGATTTTGGCAAGTTTGTGCATTAACAACAGTTGGTGTATAAAATAGGTAAGCTGAAAGGTTTCACTGGCTGGAAGGTTATACTTATACTTTGAAAAATTGAAATATCTATCTAGTCTTCTCCTTCGCTCCTCCTTTGCGCACTGCATTTTGGCAATTAGCAACAATTGGTCTATGAGATGGGAAAGCTGGAAGGTTTCACTGCCTTACTTATGTAATACTTTGAAAAATTGAAGTATCTATCTAGTCTTCTTTTTCGCTTCTCCTTTGCACACTGCATTTTGGCAACTTTGTGCATTAGCAACCATTGGTCTATGAGATGGGGAAGCTGGAAGATATCACTGGCTCAAAGGTTTCACTGCATTACTTATGGTAATACTTTGAAAAATTAAAGTATCTGTCTAGTCTTTTCATTCGCTTCTCCTTTGCACACTGCATTTTGGCAACTTTGTGCATTAGCAATTATTGGTCTATGAGACGGGGAAGCTGGAAGGTTTCAGGGATTACTTGTAGTAATACTTTGAAAAATTAGAGTATTTATCCAGTCTTTTCATTCGCTTCTGCTTGGCACAATGTATTTTGGCAACTTTGTGCATTGGCAATCATTGGTCTATGAGATGGGGAATCTGGAAGATTTCACTGGCTGGAAAGTTTCACTGCCTTACTTATAGTATTACTTCCAAAAATTAAAATATCTATCTAGCCTTCCCCTTCCCTCCTCCTCTGCTCATTGCATTTTGGCAACTTTGTGCATTAGCAACCATTGGGCTATGAGATGGGGAAGCTGGAAGATATCACTGGCTCAAAGGTTTCACTGCATTACTTATGGTAATACTTTGAAAAATTAAAGTATCTGTCTAGTCTTTTCATTCGCTTCTCCTTTGCACACTGCATTTTGGCAACTTTGTGCATTGGCAATTATTGGTCTATGAGACGGGGAAGCTGGAAGGTTTCACGGCCTTACTTGTAGTAATACTTTGAAAAATCAAGGTAATCATCCAGTCTTTTCATTCGGTTCTGCTTGGCACACTGCATTTTGGCAACTTTGTGCATTGGCAATCATTGGTCTATGAGATGGGGAAGCTGGAAGATTTCACTGGCTGGAAAGTTTTACTGCCTTACTTATAGTAGTACTTTGAAAAATTAAAGTATCTATCTAGTCTTTTCATTCGCTTCTCCTTTGCACACTGCATTTTGGCAACTTTGTGCATTAGCAATTATTGGTCTATGAGACGGAGAAGCTGAAAGGTTTCACGGCCTTACTCGTAGTAATACTTTGAAAAATCAAGGTATTCATCTAGTCTTTTCATTCGCTTCTCCTTGGCACACTGCATTTTGGCAACTATGTGCATTGGCAATCATTGGTCTATGAGATGGGGAAGCTGGAAGATTTCACTAGCTGGAAGGTTTCACTGCCTAACTTATAGTAGTACTTCAAAAAATTAACATATCTATCTAGGCTTCCCCTTCCCTCCTCCTTTGCACACTGTATTTTGGCAACTTTGTGCATTGGCAACCATTGTTCTATAAGATGGGAAACCTCAAAGGTTTCACTGGTTGAATGGTTTCACTCTATGACAATAACTGTCGATGAGTTGTACAGTCTATCTCGTCTTGTATTTGTAAATCTTTTGTTGGAGAAATTCTCACTTGTTTACTCTAGAACTGTGAACTGGAACTGTGAATTTCCGGAACTTCAACTAACGTTTCCTAATATGACTAATAACCAGTCCGTGCACAGCTTATTGTTAAATCATCTGAAAATGGAACTTTTAACAGGTAATGATCGACTGTATTGCCAAACATGCGCCAAACTAACTGATTGTTACAAGGAAACAAGTATAGCTTAGGCAACAGTCAATCTAATAATAACACTGATTATCTTCAAACATGACTCAACCTCTGAAGGAAGCACCAAACTCTTACAAAGGTTTGAAATAGATGAACACTTCAATCTGGCGGTGTCTTGAATTTATTGGAGCCTCTGGAGACACCCTACATTTTGTTTTATGAAAGAGAGGACATTGGCAGATCAAGATCTTCAGATGATGTGGTGCTGCAGGTTTTCGAGTTTTCCTGCAGCTGAAAAAGCAAATGCGCCACTGGCATCAATGAAGTCGTCCCGGAGCGCCAAATAATTTGTATTGTTGTTATGTAATTTCATGATCTGTATTTTGGAAGAAAAAATGTCTTCAACGATTTTCTAATATAGGTATATGTGACCCAAATCCACCCTGAAAACCTGCAATAAGTAACTGCATTGAGTTTAGTAATTCATAAATGATTTTTGTCATGGAAATTGAATATACTCAGTAGATTTCGACCTTCACTGAGAAGAAAGTAAATAGGTACCCTCTGTATACACAAATATCGAAACATATTCCAAAACTTGATGTTCATATCCTTCCTCCCCTTAAATTACACACGCGTGCCCGACTGCTTGCCAAAAGGTCACGAACACCTCAAGTGCTTCACCCACTCCTCATTTCCCCAAACTGAAAATGCACCGATATGGCATTCCCACGAATCGATCAAACATGCAACAACTATCGTCGTCATGACAACAAGTTCAAATATACTTTCCAATCAAGCAATTGCGATTAGTATTGCGATCGCCCTCGCAGAAACAATCATGTCCCACAAAACATACGACGAGCAATTTAAAGCCACCCAGGAAATCCTAGACGAGACCCTTCAACTAGAGCCGGTGCAAGCAGATCGGCGAGAAGACCGCAACTTGCTGGCCACCCTGTACGTACGTTATATTCTGATCGTCAACAAGTTATCTGCTTGCGTGGATCAGATGGTGCAGCCGCAGAAACGAAAACTGATCAAGAAGCTGCTGGAAGCAGCCCTCGGGAGACTGCTGGAGCTGAAGTCGGACCTCGTGGAGGCTGACCTAAACGAGTACACCCATTGCGGCGATGTCATCGAGATGCTCAACCTCACTCCTCTGGACGCTGAACTCCTAACCCCTTCCTGCTTCAGGAAGGAGCGTAGAGTAGACTTGGAGTACAAGAAAAGACTCATTGATAGCGTCCTGGCCAAGCTGGGCTTCATCGACAAGGAGACAGAGAAAACCCCCATGACGGAACAACAAGCCATCTTGATCATCCAGACCCACGAAAGGGCAAGGCAGGGAAGGCTCCGCGCCCAGTTCATGAAGGAGATAAAGAGCATGAAGGACAAGAGCAAACCAGTCCAAGGGGATGATGTGGTGGAAGGGGAGGACGGAAGAGCGGGAGGGATCAGCTTGTCGGCGGCACTGAAGATCCAGAAGATCTGGAGGGGGTACGTCGCGAGGAGGGGTACTCGAAGGAGGAAACTGCAAGAGATGCTGCTCATAGGGATGATACCCCCTCCGAAAGCTAAGAGCGAGGAGATCGAGAAGGATTTGCAGAATAAGCAGTACAGGTATTTCGAATAACTGAAAGTGTGAACATTTATAGAAACTAGTCCATTGTTGGAACATTCAGAAAGAAGATGATCAATAATTTTAAATTGTTCACACTCTCAGACCTGAATTTTGTGCAAGAGCATCATTAGGATTGAGTTCAACATGATTTCAATAATACGATTAAAGTTATCAGTCAGAAAAAAAAATGTATGTAACTGTTTTTAGTGGAATTTCACCTGAAGATGTGAAGTAGACATTTCAGTCTTCTTCGATGTAACAAAATCTGTGTTGAGTTGCATCGTCAGAATCATGTCTTTCTAGGTGGAAATTGCAAGAACAGAGACAGATCGAGTATGAAGAAGCTATCAAAAACTGCAGAAACAACTTAGAGAAACATCAACGCGGGCCTGTGTTAGAACAACTAAGTGACCAGGTCAGACTTTGGCTGCAGGAGTACAAAACTCAAACCGGAAAGATTCCAGAGTACACAGGAGAAGAAAGAAGTACCTCGAGATTGATGCTGAGTAGACAAGGTACATAAAACTATTCAGATTTTGAACGAGGAAGATGATGTTTTCTGTTGTGGACTAAAAAAGATGTAAGTTTTGAAATTGTTTCTATTTCAGGAACTGACAGCGAATTGAGCAAATCGACCCAGATCTCCTCCAAAGAATCAAAAACAAAAAAGGATAAGGCCGCTAAAGCCAAGGAGAGTAAAACAAACGCAATCGAGGAAGAACAGCTGACCACCAAAGCAGTCGTATCCACTTTCGTTCCTGAGCTGAATCTGAGAAAGGAAGAATACGACGAAATTTGGAAAAACAAAGACGAAACCGACAATTTCCGTCAGTATCACTGCAAGAGCATCATAGAACAAGAACAAATGGCCGAAATGGAAAACGAGTTGAGGAAAGTTGTAGACGAAATGATGAGAGCTGAATTGGAGTTGCTACAGGTGTTGAAACTGTCAACCCCATCTCTTGTTTCACTAATGTGGCTGATAACGGTTTCTTTTTTCAGGAAGCATTTGAGAAAGACAGAGGCCACAAAGGCAAGAAAAAATCGAGCAAGAAAGCCAGAAGGGGCGGAAAGAAGAGTAAAAAGAAGAAAGAGAAAGATCTAACACCAGATAGAACTACAGAATCTCTTTTCGAAGAGCTCGTCGCGAATGGGATAATAAAAAAGTAAGAACTTTGTACCTCTGTCTCTCCGTTATGTGTTGTGAAGAATGCGAAATTCCCTTCACATTCCTCTGTTTGGTAACGTTCTATCAAAATATTTCACGTGTTTCAGATATCCAGAGACTTATCTTCCAGAATTCAGAGGAGAGGCCTCTTACTTTCCACCAGCACCTTTCAACATCGGCAAAGACCCACCAATATTTGTAGGCGACGTTCGGAAAGTTGTTCAAGAGTTCTGTATCATACCAATGCTGACACCAAACTTACATCAGGCCACCCCACACATCAAATCTGTACTTCTAGCTGGATACAGGTGAGTTATGATGGGCTGAAAAGTTCTCCAGCTTCAACCAGATATATTCTCTCGAGAAAAATATCTGGTCGAGGCGGGAATCGAACCCACGGTCTTCCGATCGTGAGTCGGGCGCACTACCACTACCCTGTAAGAACGAACAATCGAATCTTTCACTAGGGTGGATGTTGGTATATGTAGTCAGGTACAATTGCATTATTGAAAAATATGTAGAAAGTGTATATTTTGCTATAATCACACGGCCGATAACATGAAACCCAAAATCATGATTGAAAAACCCCATGTTGCCAGACACTCAAATTATCGTCAGTTCTAGGAATTATTTTGATCACACTCTATCTCAGACGTATTAACCAACCGGGATTTAAAACTGAATGGGCTTGTTTCATACTATTCAAAATGACACTGGTTTGCCTATAGACTAATCGAGTTAGGGGTATATTATTGAGCCCAATCGGCCCCAGCACCTCTTTATATTTGCAAGAAAAAAAAATCGAGAAGCAAGAGTCTTAATTGGCCGCGTATCTGATGACCAATAAAATTGATCGTGTCTACAGCGGCGTTGCCAAGTGTCAAATATTTAAACAAAAATACGAAGTTATGAAACATGAGAAAGCGTACATTGTCTCATACATTCAAGCGAAATAGCTGACTGGGTGTCAATATGGTTAATATATATTATCCATTATCAATATACCATCCTCAGTGATATCCAAAAGCATTTTTACAGTCTGAAATTTGAAAAAGAAATATTTATTCATGTAAACCATAATACGCAATATATTTCAAAAGGTACATAAATCTGATATTTTGCTGAAAAATATAGAGGTTCCTCGATATCCTCAGGATTGTATTCTTCCAAAGTGATAGTAGTAGCGTCACTTCCCTGTGACGTCACGGGCCTAGAAAATCCGATTTTTAATGATTATTTACGGGAAACAACGATATTCAGAGAGCTGAAACAAGTTACACTATTTTTCAATTTGAAATTACTACCAAACGAACTGTAAACCAAAAATCATGAAACAAACCCATTTTTCATTCCTCAGAGGAAGTGGAAAGGATATGCTAGTTCACGCCGTCTGTACTGAAGTTGGAGCGGTACTATTTGACCTAACACCCTCCAATATTGTCGGAAAGTACCCTGGAAAATCCGGACTAATCATGCTCATCCACTTGGTTTTGAAGGTTTCCCGACTGATGCAACCTTCTGTCATCTATATGGATTGCGCTGAGAGACCTTTCGTCAAAAAAATTCCCAAAACTGACAAGAGCGACCCGAAAAGGCTCAAAAAGGATTTGCCAAAAATTATCAAAAGTCAGTATCTATAGTGAACATTTTATTGATTTGATCTAAACATGAATCTCATATTTTTCAGATTTTAGCCCAGAAGACAGGGTTCTTCTCATCGGCACCACGAATTGTCCTTGGGATTGCGATCAGAAACTATTGCAGCAGGTCTACCAGAAGTACCTAATCATTCCGCGGCCCAACTACAGTTCCAGATACAGTATTTGGGCCAATCTTCTCAGTCAATACATGGCAATCAACTGGCAGTTTGATATTGGACTTATGAGTAAAATTTCCGATGGTTATACAATTGGTAAGTACCGATTTTTTGGCAATTCGAATGGTCATTGATTATTTATGAGATCAGAGCTCAAACACAATACATTGGGGATCCAACACGAGGCAATCCAATAGGCCTCAGGAAGGTTGCAAAAACAAACTTCAACATCGACATTCGAGATTCAACAGCCATGTTTTGACTCGCCTCAACTAGTTGCCTTACAGGAGACGAATCTCTTTCAGCAGTCGATGTCGAAACTCTACTCTGCGACTAACCACCTTGTAGAGCCTCTTTAATCTTTGATATTCGTGAATTAGGTCTTCTTTAGATCCCATATAGATGCCGTAAGGGGATATGCCATCACTGCCACAAACCCAGGCTTATCCTTCAACGAATCCAGCATTCGTTGTTCAGCCTTACACCTCTGATGAGTCCTATACCGAGTCGAAACAGCGCTTTATGTTATGGGCGTCTTCATATATTATACAGTAATATTATTTTTGATTATTGTCGTTTCTGAAGTGTAAGACTGCTTCGCAGGTTCCATAATCAGCACCGTTAACGAAGTAATGACCGTCAAAAGGATGCTTCAGTTAAGGATTCATCCCTTAAGCCCCTTGGAGCTGGTCAACGTTCTCTGTCAAAAGACGCCGATATATAAAGAAGAAGAGGAAGCCATGGAACAGTGGTGGAGCAAGTGGATTTAATAAATGAGTGAATGTATGTCATTACATACTGCCATCGATGACATGAGTATGTTTGTGATATTAATGACTTATTTGTGAGTGGTGCTAGAACACTTGAGAATGGTGTAAAAACCGAAACCTTGGTCGTATTAATATCAGTACATTAAGTAAGTGGAAACTAGACAAAGTATTTTATTCCTATATCTAATTGAAGATGACATGAGTAGTATAAACTCATTCCGTGACATAAAGTCGTAGATTTTTGAATTCATTGGGTGTTTTTTTCTTATAATGTTATCCAGATTTGGCACTGAATAACCAGTGACGAAGACAGTGTTCCATGTGAGTGAAATTTTTCTCTTTCATTTTTTTGTATCAAGATAAAGAAGTAAAAAGCCAAAATATTTTTTTCCAAAAATTTATCTCTCCTGAAAATATTTCCCTTTCCATTTAATTCAATGATGTTTTGTGTGGATTGCTCGAAATATGATGATGGTATCCATGAGAAGTCAAGGCATGCAAATTTTCATTCCAATTCACTAACTACATATTGTTCTTTTATAGATCTACAAAACAGTCCACAATGACGTTTGTGCTACTATATCGAAAAAATACCGGGAATTGGTCAATAAAACGCAAAATATGTATGATTCATCCAAATTTATTGTATCTCTTTAGTAGGTCCCTTCCGAAATAATACACTTACGTCAACAAATACCCCAAACATAGAGATATTTTTTGAACGCATATTTTTGGAATCGTCTTCGGAACTCCCTGCGAATTCTATTTTATGTCATCTATCGATTGAAAACGGGAGCCTCGAAGTGGTAATTTGAGTTTTGAAAAAAAATCGACCGGGGCCATATCAGGTGAATACGGTGGCTGTTCGTTAGGATTTGTTGTTTCAGCCTTGAGAGATAGTGCGTTGTCGTGGTGCGAAATCCTTGAGTTTTTTCCATATATCTGGCCGTTTTCAACGAATTTGCTCTCTCAAACGCAGCAAAATGCTCAGATGATATTCTGTATCTCACCTTCTGGCAAGAATTCCGAGTGCACAACAACGCGATAAACTGAAATTCAACCAGTTTAAGGTAAATAATGAATGTAAGAGCTTGTACGTTGCACATTGGACAGAAATAATGCTTTCAATAGTATTCTAATTCGGCGAAAATTATGGAAAAGATATTCAATACAGTTTATCACTCAGTAGTGATAACCTTCCAACGTGCATCTCGTCAAATCGTGATACCTAGAGATGTGCAATGTCGAAGTATTTCACTGATATTAACCTTTGTGTGATAACCGTTACAACATTTATTATTTACATTTCACCCCATGACCCCGTAATTTTTGGTAATATCCTAGTTTTGGTCTGTCCTGAAAGTCAAATGTAATGGCAGTTACAGAGTGCATTTTTTATAATAATAATAATAACTTCATTCGTCTTTTCGATCATATACATGATATAAGACATGTCATAAATAAAAATATGAAAATTATATTTAACAATAATAACAGTCCACAGTATAACATAGATCGGACACTTGAAACAGGTACTTAACTATGTACATATATAAAAAATAACACAAACACACATACACACATATATGTATACAAATACATAAATATACATAAAGTGAATTTATCTTTAACTAGGATGAAAGAAATGCAGTGAAAGCAATAATCATGATAACAGTGTATCCCTTTCTAAGAATTCTTCTACAATTGAATATCCCTTATTAGTTAATAGCTCCTTTATTTGTTTTTTAAATGGTATAATATGCAAATCTTTAATATCTTGAGGCAACGTATCGAATAATATTATGCCATTATATGCAAGTTATTTCTTGAATGTCGATGTTTTATGTTTTGGGATAGTTGATAAATGTCTATTTCGTGTTGCATAGTTATGAACTATTGATTCATCTCTCAGATTAGATACATTATTTTTCACATGGAGCAGAGCTTTATATATATAGATACAAGGTAACGTTAGCATCTTGTTCTTGCAGAAAGCAGGTCTTCAGCTACCCCTTGGTGCAATATTAAAGATAGATCTAATTATTCTTTTTTGAGCAATAAAAACACGTTTTGCCCCCACAGAAGAACCCCACATCAATACATTTTGAGCCATATGTGAGTACGCCAATGAATAGTAAACAGTCCTGATACCATCTAAACTAAGCACGTCTTTTCATGTGAACCCTTTTTATGAATAGGAATAACTTTGGCTGTTTTGAAGACACTCGGAAACACGCCTTCCATTATAGAGTGATTCATAAGATTCAAAAGAATTTCAGATATAGATGGAATGATATATTTCAGAACTTTTATTGTTATATCGTCTAGGCCACTCGATTTTTTATTTTTTAGTTCGGTTATTGTTGAAACTAGTTCAGGTTGTAGCACTTCTTCAAAAAACATTGAGTTTTTGTTAAATTCCGAGACCGTATGTGGTAGTGACATGTTCTGACCTGCATGTCTTAACAGAGCTGCCGAGGCTGCTCTGGCAAAGTGGCAAGCAAAATTATTGGCAACTTCTGTTCCATCATTGATCCGGATACCATTTGCTTCAAGATGAATCTCCCTTTTATTTTCAATTTTGGTTTTCCCTCTGAAACTATTTACAATATCCCATGTAGCTTCCTGTTTGTTTTCAGCTGTTTCTATTGGATTTGCGTAATATCCTGTTTTTAACTTCTTTAATCTATTTGTATATTCTCTTTTTTCTCTTCTGTAAATCTCGTCACTCACTTCTCCATCTATCATTCTTTTGTGCAATTCTCTCAACTGACTGCTTTCATTCTTAACTTCTCTCGTTACCCAACTTTTGTTTTACTTTCTGTTTTTGTTTTACATTTATCCTATTTTTAGGACATGACACGTCAAGACACTAAGTCCCCCCTTTTATTTTTTGTCAACTCAGTAAATTGAAATTTGAGTTAATGAAATTAATGCATGAATACTTTATTTTGAAGTGAAATTGACAGATGAAACTTTCAAAGTGGCAACTGGGCGCCACCTGGGAAAAAAATCAAATGGAAAGGGGGTCTTCTGACACATCTTTTTGAAGCTCCTGACAAATGCTTCACAACCCTATAATATAATGTCAATATCTGCAACTACTACAAAATACCGGAACTTTCAATAATTGCCTGAATATATTGACATTTAACTACATAATATGAGGTAATAAGCTTGAGGTCAGTTCAGAAGATGCTCGAAATGGTTGCCTTGAACTTGTTGACATATGAACAGCCTATCCGATATTTCACGCCTTTTCTATGGCGCCCAGTTGCCATCTTGAAAGTCTCATCTGTCAATTTCACTTCAAAATAAAGTATTCATGCGTCAATTTCATTATCCCAAATTTCAATTTTTTGAGTTGAACCGTTCAAAAAATTAAAGGGGGACATTAAAGAAATGCACTGTACAACAGAAATGGATTAAACGTAGGGATTGATAGGGAAGGACGATTCCTATTCAGAAAACCAAGTCGTTATTTGATTTTGCGAAGGAAAATTGAAAATGTTGTTTCTCAGTAATATCTCACGTATATACGTTATTCACATTTTTGAAATGTTTGCAGGTAATGAAAGTCGAGTTAATACATTTGTTTCATATTCTTACAATTACCATCCAGGTGATTCATTGATAATTTCGAAATATCCAGTTTTTTTTTGAAGCCCTTTCAATTTTTGGGATAAGATTTTTCAATCTGCTTCCAATCAGTATCAAAAGTGAACAAAACTTAAAAATATTCAAAGCAAAATTAAAATAATTTCAACAGGATTCGTGTTTTTTTGTTACTATCCCGTAATAAAATTAATATATGTACATTTTCTTCTTTACATTGTTTACTAAGTATGTATTATGTAGATGTTCAATTTTGTGTTGTATTTTAGCGTTACTTCAAGCACCTACTACTCTGTTCAAAAGATAAGGCGAATTTTCATTTTTCTAAAAAAAAATACCTATTCATTCATATATTTCTATTTTTTTTTTGTATTTCTTTGAACTCTCTTTGCGATTAGGTTTTTGTTTCCTCAATCGTCGCAAAATGCTATCCTTTCATGGGTCTCCTGAATGTTGAGAAAAGGAAAAAGTCGCAAGGGGGGCAAATCTGGTAAATACGGTGGCTGAGGCATGATAACGATGTTATCATGCAATTTTGGTGTTACATTTGATATTATGGCAAGATAATGCAACAGAAAAATGTAAAATTTATTTTCTAATGATGAAACTGATAGTGGAATATCGCAATATTGTTTATTAATTGTTCAAAAACTAATTAATACAGTTCATTGTATGATTTTCACTATAAAGGGTTTTACAAAAACCGCGACACGTGTTTCGCCATACAATAGCTTTCACAGTGGCTTGGAAAGCTATTGTACAGTGAAACACGTGTCGCGGTTTTTGCAAAACTCTTTATAGTGAAAATCATACAATAAACTGCATTAATTAGTTTTTAATATGGATTTTCATCAAGTATTGGTCAGTTCTATTCAATTATTAATTGTTTATTGAAAATATTCAACGAAAGTCATTTTTTTGTGGAGGAAAATCAGTTTTTTATCGACCTTCTTTGGGTATTTGTTACCTTCCACAATCTGAAAATTATAAAAATTATAATGGAGAACTTTATACAAGTGTAGAAGGGTAAAGTTTTTAGTTTACTCCGATAAGTTACTGCGTAAAATCAAAGTATTCATCAGTAACTTGTATTTAACAATTTTGCCAATCAAAAAAATTGTCAAGAAATAATGCAATACTTATCTCAACGTTTCAGAGGCCAAAATCTGCACCCGTCATCAGAATTGGAAAAAAAAGTTATTCCTTTTTGATTATTTATTTCTTTACTTCTTCGACAGATGTCAAAGGCGTTTTGAAATGTGAAAATTACGTCATGTTGTTGATTGACAACTGAAACATTCGATGTAATACAAGGTGCTCTCCGATATCAGTTTCTATTTCTTAGAAATAGACCGTACTTGGCTACCCATCTTGAAGAAAAATTTGGATAGTGGCGAAATGGTAATAGACTGATATCGGAGAGCACCTTGTATTACACCGAATTTTTCAGTTGTCAATCAACAACATTGACATAATTTCATATTTCAAAACTCCTTTGACATCTGTCGAAGAAGTAAAGAGATAAATAATCGAAAAGGAATAACTGCCAATATAATAGAACTTTTTTGTCCATTTCTGAAGACGGAGGCAGATTTTGGCCTCCGAAACGTTAAGATAAGTATGATAAGTATTATTTCTTAACAATTTTTTTGATAGGCAAAATTGTTAAATACAAGTTACTGATAAATACAAGATTTTTCTTTGTGAAAAATACTTCGATTTTACGCAGTAACTTATCGGAGTTAACTAGAAAGTTTGCCCTTCTACACTTGTATAAAGTTCTCCATTATAATTTTTATATTTTTCAGATTGTGGAAGATAACAAATACCCAAAAAAGGTCGATANCGTAGGGGATCCAACCAGAAAGACTGAGAGTAACCTTTGAACCTGCCCTCTTTGAGGGGTTTTCACATTAGTTCCTGGTGAAAATACATATATTAAGGGCGGGAAATTTTCAAAAGGAATTGATTAATATTGGCGCATTCGCCACATACAAACCTCAAAGCCTACTAGCTCAATGTGCAAATTATAAACAGCGAACTTTGATAAATTCGAGTGATGAATAATGCAATTTCAATTAAATTGACGGTGTTAAAATTGAAATAAGTACACCTAAATGAAATAATAGGAATCGAATAAAAAATAACAATAATTATAATTTAATGGTAATCATTATGTGCAATATTTACACTTACATAAACATACTAATGTGTGTAACTGTTCTAACGAAAATTTGATGCGAACTGGAATGAAAGGTAAATAAACATAAATAAAACCTCGTTGAAATTATTTCCTTATTTCTATTTTATGGGAACAACATATATGGCTGTATTTTGAGAAATACTAATGTAAAAACATCAAAAGCAATAGTTTTGCCTCGAAAGTTTTAGGTTCTGATGCAAGACTTACAGTCGCGGATTCCGGAGAAAAATATCCAGGGCCGGCCTCAGGCAGGGCGAGCGGGGCAACCACCCTGGGCCCCGGGCTTCAGAGGAAAAACATATGGCTCATAATATCGTTGTAACAACGTTGAGGTTGTTAGAGAAAAATCATAGATGTATAAATTTTACTTCATACGATTATTTGAAAAATACATGCCTTCAATAGAACAATTTTAGAAAACAACATGTAGCTTTTTTTTCTGATTGATTCGTCCGTTACTTGATGAAGATCCATAGTAATTTCAAAAACTACACCTCAAAATTTGATCTCTACAAACTTTACTTGAAAAATATATCAGATGTTTCGCTAGCACAGTAGCTTTTTCTAGCGAAACATGTTGTCATGTATTTTTCAAATGAAGTGTAGTTTTTGAAATTAACATGCAGCTTGCAAATAAAATCTTCCAAAATGTTATTTTGCTGAATCCTCTGTTGTTCGTAACGAACTGAGTTGTATAGTGTTTTTTGAGATAAACCAAATTAACAGTTTAGGTGTGAATGATTATAGTCACCGTATGTGTTTACTTCTATAAGGTGGTATTGTGAATACATTTGTTTGCAGGTAAATATAATGCATTCTTTTTTACAAATGGCCTAAAAATAATTCACTTTAATTCTTCTCTGCTGGTTTTACGGGGCAGACAAAAAAATGAGGGCATATCTTCTTCTCTCGAATTACTCCACAGATACCTATCCTAAATGCGAATTACAATATAATAGTAGTTATTGTTTTTATATAGTTCTGGAAAATAAAGACAGATTTTATTTTGTTTTATTCGATTATGTTCGAAATGAATATGATTCTATAATTGTTGTCTTCATGAATTAAGGTAATCAATAAGACACAAAATAGTATTTTATGGGGATTCCTTTAGCAGGCATGTTAAGAAATAAATTCAGGAACAGATTCCGTTGATTATTTTCGAAATAATCATTCTTCATTCAGGCATTTATAGTATTTTAGTACCTTTGAAAAAAAGAAAGATTTTGGCTTTCTACTTTTCTGACGACAGCAAAGTTGTCTCGTCATTCCATTTGGATTTCAGGACATCCGCTGCGGATGCACATCTTTACCGGCAGCAGGAGGTTGCATATCTCAATGAGGATCTAGAAAGGATTTCCAATTGGGGTGAGAGTTCAATTCAATGATAGTCCTGTGGAACTACAGTCTAAACTTAACACAATAAGTCGTAAATTTACGAAATGGTGTCACACAAATAAACTTATAGTCAATGCCAACAAAACGGTGTTAGTTCAATTCTTCAACCGAAGACACTTAGAGCCTATACAGGATGATATAAATAATGTCACTATATATCCGTCGGAAACCAACAAATTTTTAGGACTTCATATAGATTCTGTGTTGAGTTGGAAAGTTCGCATAAATAATGTTTGCAAGAGAATCAACACCAGTTTTCACGCATTGATACAACTTAAAAAGGTTCTGAATGAAGAGTATTAGTTGAACATTTACTATGCGAATGTGTGTGTCATCGACACACGGATTCCTGTAGACCCATTTTTAGGGTCTACAAGAATCTACATTTAAAATTGTCTGCTTTTTGTAAAAAAGAAAGAGTTTGAGTTTGAAACTAACTCAAAGTGTCACAATTGACTAACAAGAAACGGAAATCTAATATAACTGCAGCAACATCGTCCGAGATTGTTTCAAAAATCACCCTCTCTATCAGCCTCCAAGCTATTCAATTGTCTGTCTTCAAATATGAAGAGTATCCCATTAATGTCTACTTCCAAACCGAAAGTTAAAGAATACCTTTTAGAGGGATATTTTAATTTTATCAATGAGTATTTAGAGTATACTTCCAAATAATGGTGAACAATGTACTGTGATCTCTATGTTATTTATTAACTCTGTATTATACATCTACATATTTTTTACTTGACGTTTTCTAAATCATTGTTGAATTATCATTTCAAAGGAATAAAAACATTATTATCATTACTACTAATGCCACGAAAACCCAGGCATCGGTTTTCTTCAAAATATAATTGTCTCCGAACTGGATATATCTAATAATGTCAGGCTAGACAATTTCGCTGTCTGCTTCGATAAGTTTGTTGGGGGTTGAAATGGAGAGCGCTTTAAGGATTTTCCTATAGTGCTTGTTTCTTGTGTTCAAAAAAAGAGGTAATGAGACAAGTGCCTCATTTCCAAACATCAATGTCCGCCATTGAGGATGACAGTGTTCCATGTAAGTAAAATTTTATCTCTTTCATATACGATATTGTGTAGCAATCCTGTGGATGATATCTGAATCAATTCCATAACGAATGTTTGTAGTAGAAACTGAATAGGAAAACATGGTTTTTGTATAATCAATGTTCATATAAAAGTAGGTATTTGTTTTGAAAGTATTTTTTTATTCGTGTAATTCAATGTTCATATGAAAGTAGATGTTTGGATTCGTAATCTACGCATCAAAATACGTAAGTACAGTCAAAAATTTTTTCAAAATCGCCGGGTGTCCACATAACGAAAATTTACCAAAAATAAAAATGAAAGAAAAGGAAGGGAGAGGTAATAAGGAAAGGAAAAGAACCAGAAGGTTGGGATTTCCCAACATGCACAACTTGGAGATCCCATACTTTGAAATTCTGAGTTGTTTAAAAACTTCAAAAAAGTTTAATTTCTCCCAAGTAAGAGAACAGTCCTGAACAGTACACAAATTTTAAAGTGACAATTTAACAAAATTCACAACTTTTCGCTGTTCGACTTGGAAAAGTTGGTAAATTTCGGGCCGTGAAGATAGAAAAAATAATAGTAGAAAACAATAAGCACAATATTATTTAAGTGTTGTTTTCTTTCATTTGTATTGAATATTCCTATACATGGTGAATATGGTGGAAGATCAACGACCTTGGTCCAAAGTAGAATAATTCCCATTATTATTTTTATAATTACCAAAATTTATTCTTGTTTGTGCATACCCTAACAGGCATAAGCATTCAGCCAATCTTTGGATAGCTAAGTAAGAAAATTAATATATTATAGTACCTAGTAACTAATCCCTCGGCTTTCATTTTTTCGAAAGTTGGGAAATTTTGCTGGTAGGGTTGGGAAAATTTGGATTCCCTCTCCCCCTGGTTTTTTTGCTACCGCCCTGGATGCAAGCATTCGTTTTTAAATTAAGTTTTTTTATAAGAAAAATGTTGATTGTTGATTTGGGAAGTGTCAATTAAGGAGGAATAACGTGTAAGGGTGAATTAGTGAATAAATGCTTGTGTTTTTAAATAGTCTATCTTGTGAAAAAGGAGGCTGAAAAGTTGCCCTTTTCTGAACTTTGAAGGGCCGTAACTTTGGAAATAAGAAGAGCGCCTTTTTTTCGGATTCGTAATCTACGCATCAAAGTACGTAAGTACACTAAAAAATTTTTTCAAAATCGCCGGGTGCCCTCAGAACGAATATTTACCATCAATTAATATGCACAAAACTGAATTGGTAATATAAATATCATACATACTGTTTGAACAAAATAAATAATTCTGTCTCCGCTTCAAAAGTTTTCAGATTGTAAATAATACAAAAATTTGAGAAAAGGGTCATCCCAGGACTTCACTGTTGCGATTATGCCACCAACAAATCTCTTTCAAATTCCCCGACGCGTTACTTCCCGCCAGCGCGCCGCGTCCCGCGAAGAATTCAATTTCTCTCGCGAATCCTCAGCACAACCAACTTGATCTAAATACTTACGGACAAGGTCACCGACCACCGCAACAGCGCGTTTGTTTTGGTTCCTAGGCGAAGCACCTCCACGCGACGATCATCTTAAGCTGGCGGGCGTCTATCGACCGTCCGAGAAAATTTCAGCGGCATTCGTGAACCACGAGTGTTTCACGGGGCCACCCCATTGGCTGCGTCGCATGGTCTGACATGGGACCACATCCCGTAGCAGATAAATTGCAAGCGCGCTTACAGGCCGGTCAGTGTAACGTGAATTGTTCGTGTGCGAAAATTATTTATTTATTTATTTGGATATACCGGCGCTGCGAAAATCGACATTGTGTGATATTAGGTTGATAGAGCTGAGGGAACGGATATCGTTTTGTAGGATTGGTGAGTTATGATAACCAGGTTTTTTAGGTGGAATATTTAGCTTACAGTTGCTGAAAGATTTTTAATTACGTCAGCTTATGATTCACTGTCTTTTCTGAAGAATAAACCGTTCTATTTGAGTTATCTTGATAAATGCCTAACAAATGAATTGATAGTTCTTTTATTGATTATTTGGGTAATTGTCAAAATACCTACCTACTTGGAATAATCTTGTTTAGAAATGGAATTTAACAAACTCTGATCAACGTTCTTAGGAAGTACCTGAAGTCAATTTTTGTAACTTTTTATTATAGAACGGTAAAAAAACAGCTGATGAATATTCTTGCATTGCCACAATGTTGAACAAGAATGGTAAATGTGTGAAATTTAACATTATTATCATGGTTTTCTCAATATACCTACTCAATATGAATACTTCTTAATAAAAGTTTTATTTACATAGAAACCCAGCTGAAGGAATAGAATGTACCTACGTACTTTACAAATGAAAAGAGATTATAATAAAATAATCAATTATCGTTTATGATCAATAAAATGAAGTCAATTAATTCGTTTTTATTTTTTCTTTGAAATATTTGAGGTATCTCATTGCAGGCTTATTCACATATTCAATTTAAGTCTTTGAAACGGAAATCACATTGAGAAATGAATTATAGGCAATAATTCACAAAATGAAGAGATTCAAATTAAACATTTAATGAAGAAACATTGTGATTTGTGTATACAAACAACGAGATGAATAACGACGAAATTGACAGAATTTACTTTTTTTTTCTCTGAAATTATTCACGGCGATCGTATAATTATAATGAAGAAACATTGTTAATTGTGTATACAAACAACGAGATGAATAACGACGAAATTGACAGAATTTACTTTTTTTTCTCTAAAATTATTCACGGCGAGCATATAATTATAATCATTAATATTCAATAAAAAGAACTGAAAATATTTTTTAAAAGTAGCTTGTTCTTGATGAATATTTGAGAGCTGTAGCACAATTTTTTGTTGAAAATTTTAATTTTATTGAGATGAAAGGCTCAATTCATATTTGAACAAATTTTATGGCGTCTAGAAACATTGGTTTCCAGTGATAAGAGTGAGGAAAATCGAAAATTCTACCCAACCTAGTTTCCAAGAGAATTTCAATAAAACAGACGATAGCTTTCAAATCGATTTTATAAAGAATGCGTTAAATTGCAATATACTAATTGCTTTCACTTGAAGATGCTTTTACTTATATCCCTAAAAGTTTTTCATCTGTGACATTTCCCTTTTCACTTTTCTTGAAAAACTTGCTAAGTTCTTAATAACTTGTTTCTGCCTTCGAATGTAAACACTGTTTGCAAAAATGTTATTTAAATCGTTAAATTGAGTTGGTTGTAAGTGCCATTATAGTCAGTCCAGAAATGAGGGAAACTACAGCAGTATATCTATTTATATATTAGTAACATAATACTACATTGAAATCATTTACTCTCAACGAATTGGATAATGAATATACAAAATTTATTCTTGAAAAATCTCTTCATAACAAACGAAATAATAACAGGGAAGCCCACGATGCAAAATGGGGATTTACTCGAGCGTCATTGAGACATATTAGGTTGCAAAGCTTAGATGATAAGAAGAAAAAAATGTTATATAATATATACCTTTTCATCGGTGGGGAAGCGGCTATAGATTTTTGAATATGTAAAAAATACTGTTGCATGGACATACCCGAGTGCGACAAATACTCATAGCATCAATGTCCTACGTATTTTTAATAATGTTGGTATGTTAATCTAATCGTTTGCATGATGTGGGTGGTTGGACGTAAGGGTTAAAAGTGAAAAAAAATTAATCGAACGCGTCAGATTTTCTAAGGGGGTGTTAAGTGCAACAAAAAAAAGCTCTCATTCAATAATCTGACGATTTCGATCTGACGCAAACTCGCGGCCATTATTATAATGTGCAAAAAAAATTCGTCATTTTGAAATACTCAAGCGCGTCAAGTATTATAGTTGAAGGGGATTGAAAAAAACATTGTTTGTTTTTGAAAGCGTGATGAATAGATATTCCTTTGAATTATGCTGTCCACAGACACACTGCACCCATCAATCAATCAATAGGACTTGGCTTTTTCTATAGGAAGAAAATATTACATCATTTTCTGTTGGGGGTTTTAAGGCCATGGTAGAGGGGTTAAGTCATAGTCTTAGTCTCAGTGATATTCTTCAATTTACTTCTAAAGAATAAAAAGCTATACAACATGAAAGCTAGTTGTTTGTTGTTCTTGTCTATATATAGTTATTTGTTCTAAGAATTTGTTTCGCAATGCCACTATTCTTCTGCTTTCCATAACTGCTTGACATTTGTTTATTATTTTAAATGTAAATCATAGTTTCTTTATCCAATTCCGAAGAGTTTTGTCACAGCAGCTCACGTTATGGCCGGAAGAATTCAATTTATTTCTTATGATTTCCGTTGTAGAAATCTCATTGCTTTTGTAACAGTCGTATATTATTTTTTCAATGATTTTATTAGATAAACATCTAAAGGTTTTGGTAATCTCGTATTACATCGGGTCTTGCGTTCATAAGGTTTGTTTGTCGGTCAAATCTGATGTTGCTTGTAATAGTTTGTTTCCCTCGAAACCAAACTTGAGTTGTAGATTCTTATATACATTGAAAGTGTTTCAATATTCAAATGCATCTGAATCGTATTCACTGTTTTTTTTTTTCGCATTGGTCATCATCGCTGTTGGAATCATTACACTGGAAAAAGTCAGTGGTCTGTGTTGTTATCACACTCGTTATTACTATTAGTACTTGTCCAAGGACGGCACATTTTAAACAGATAACAGAATTAAGTAATTATAACTTCACCAATATTGAATTTCAACACTCAAATCGCGATCAGTTCCAGAACTGAACACGGCGGCGGTAACCATCCCTGCATCCTCGCATTCTATTCGTCACAGTAACATGACTTCAAATTTAATTTTATGACTCTTCAGCCAATCATAAAACTCGGTTAGTAAAAATTATCCAATACGAACCGCCAATTCTTCAGTCCGCATGGACTAGTTCGCAGCGGCATTATTTCTCTGTATTGTTTTTTTTGGTCTTTGAGATGCCTATAGCTTTAAGTATTCACAATAAAGGTTACCTCGATTATATAATTGAAGTGATTCATATTATATTTTCCCATACTTCCTATCAATAGCCAAAAGCATTATTGAAAACCAAAACGATAAATGGTTAATCATATGTTCAAGGTTGGGATGGTTACGTAATATGGGAAATGTAAAAATATGTATCTAGAAACTGAAAGTTGAGCATTTTGATAGAAGGTATTCATGCAGAGAGTTTGCCAGTGGCGTAGCTAATGGTCCCAGGGCCCGCGGGGATGAGACTATTGACTTTATGGTTCCAGTTCACCCTTAGTAGTATTTAGAATCCAGATTCGGAAATTCTTGATTGTGCCATTGAAAAAAATAGTGGAATTGCGTAACAAATACTTAAAACAAATAACTAAATATAGACAAGTACAACGGCAAATTTTCTATTTGGACGAATCTTGGTAAGACACTTACGACACAGTTACGAAAGGGTGGACTGATGGTTCGAGGATGTGTACGCCTAACATGCCTGTAAATTATGGATCACGACTAATCATTGTGCATTGCGGAGGAAGTAAAGGATGGGTTCCAGTATCGACATTAAAAAATACAAAACAATGATTCTGAGATATATTAGAAAATAACGGGAATAGTCGTTTTTTGAAAAAAAACTTTTCATCTACGTTATTGTTGTTGACCTGTTGTCGCCTTTAAAATAATCCCCATTAGATATTATGCACTTTGGCCAGCGCTTCTTCCAATCCACGAAACACTTCTAAAACTCTATCTGTGGGATAGCCTTTAGCTCATTCAGCGCAGCACTTTGCATGTCATCTTTGCTTTTCTCTTTGAGGTTCTCTTTATATTTGGAAATAGGAAAAGGTCACACGGTGTCATGTCTGGCGAATATGGAGGCTGGGCATCGTTACAGTATTGACCAAAATTTCGCGAACGAGTAATGAAGTATGAGCAGGTACCTTAGGGGGGGGGCAAGTATCATTAATTGTTCCTCCACAAATCCGGGCGTTTTTTTTTTTTCGAATTGCTTCACTTTTTCCACGTTTTCATCGGTTATTGATGTGCTAGGACGTCCAGTCGTTATCTTCAACGTATTCACTAGCATCACTTATCCCACTCTTAAACTTTCGTTTGTCTCATATCAGTCTTACCATAAGTCTTCGTTAACAGTTAAGAATTCACACTTTATTTTATTTTTGACGGAAAATTTGATACACAAGTTCTCTGATTCCTTTGTTTTAACGAATGAAAATCGCCTAGCTCTTGAGAACACGTCTAATTTCAGCTCCTGCCAGAGCTGAAAATTGTATCATAGTTCAGGGGCATGTACGAGTATACAAACATAATGAAAACATTTTTAACAATCAAACCAGACAAACTTTGTACACCTGGATGGCAAGAAGATTTATGGACTTCTTGCAAAATCTTCCAGGACAGATCAAAAACACTGTCTTTTGTCACTTTTTCTCGGCGCAAAAAACCCGTCGCAAGTTAAAGGTACTTTGATCAAATGAATGATCAATTTTTATAATTAATTGGCAGTGGGGTCTATTATGCGAATGTAAAACGTTACACGCTAAGGTGAAGGTTTCACACAAACGTGATGTTTTCTACAAATAAACTCCCACTTAATGTCTGCAAATTTTTGGAAACGCTCGGCGTATTACGTCGACCACCATCGATAAGTAGACGTACCCTAATGTCCACAGTTGTGCGGATATCTATTACCAGAAGAGAAACATCATTGTAATTACTTGCTTTTACTTAAATAGAAAAAACACCAGAACAGTTGATGTTGTCTTTGGATGTATATTGTTTTATAAAGTTTATGTCAATATTTAGAGGTCTGGATAATAACAACGGAAATATTCACCTT